GTGCACCCAGCTGTTTATAAGGTATTTTGCATTTTCTGTTATGTCATCTTGTTACCATTATTATAATATAGTATGTACTGCACTAAGAGCATTGCATGTGATCCCTTCTGAAAACTGGATGCATCAACATTCGTCACTTGCATTCTGAACACTCTTTTCATTAGATGACATAATATGGTTCATTGACAGGCACCATGCAGTGCTTCTTTTGTTCCTTAGGTGTCGATAACAACAGAAGGAGGAAAAACTAAAAGAAAGATTAAGTACTGCTTGTTTGTGTACAGTGGTGTAGTTTATATTAAATCAATTTTTCTAAATCTGCTGAGTTAAAGGATTCTATGCAACTTGCATAATGCAATTGCCAATTTCATTGACTGTTATTGCACTGCATCTTACTGCCTATCACACCTTCTGCAACTTAAGGATTGAGTTCAATGACATCCACATGAAAGTAGAGTGCATTTAACCTTCTATACATTTGCGGAAAGGATACAGCTTTATGAGCCAATTCAAAATTAAAACTTATGGTGTTTTATTTTTAACGAGTAGGAAATTTAGACCTCTTTAAATATTTTTTCTCAAATCTTAAACTCTCCATTTTTTATGTTACAGGTGGGTTTGCAGTATCTAACTGGAGATATGTCTGGTGCCAATGCTCGGTGTATTGCAATGCTTCAAGCATTTCAGGAGGCCATCAAAGACTACAAGGTTCCACAGGAGAAGACTCTTGTGAGGGACTTAACAGCAAAAATTAGTAGTTATGTATCATTTCTTATTGAGTGTCGACCTCTGTCAATCAGCATGGGAAATGCTATTAGGTTTCTCAAAAGTCGGATAGCCAAGTTACCTTTGACCTTGTCTGAATCAGAAGCAAAAGCTTCTCTCCATTCAGATATTGAGCGTTTTATTAGTGAGAAGATTATACTCGCCAACAAAGTGATAGTGAAGCATGCTGTCACCAAAATAAGAGATGGTGATGTTCTTCTAACGTATGGGTCCTCGACAGCTGTTGAAATGATACTATTACATGCACATGAGTTAGGAAGACAGTTTCGCGTTGTGGTAGTTGACTCTTGTCCAAAGCTTAGAGGGCAACTTTTGCTTCGCAGGCTGGTGGAGAAAGGTCTTAGCTGTACATACACTCATATAAATGCTGTTTCCTACATAATGAAGGAAGTTACTCGAGTATTTCTGGGTGCTTCATCAGTTTTATCTAATGGAACAGTATATTCAAGAGTAGGGACTGCATGTGTTGCAATGGTTGCTCATGCATTCCGTGTACCTGTCATAGTATGTTGTGAGGCATATAAATTTCATGAACGGGTACAGTTGGACTCAATATGCTCTAATGATCTTGGTACGTACATAGAACAGTTGTATAAGATGAGGATTCTGTTTACAGTTCACGGTTAGCTTTTTGCATTATGTCTGTAAGAAGGTTGATGTTTCTATGATATTCTTACAGGTGATCCAGATGCAATTTCAAATGTATTGGGTAGAGAGGATGTCAACCACTTGGATGGCTGGGCCAATATTGAAAATCTGCAACTCTTAAATCTGATGTAAGCATTCATATTGCTGAGATACCCTCCAAATTCTCATTTTCTCATTCTTAACATTGCACTTCTATTTAAATTGATGGCAGTTATGATGCAACACCTTCAGATTATGTTTCAATGATTGTCACAGATTATGGCATGGTAAGTACTGAAATCTTAAGAGTATTTTTGTCTTTGCTGCTAAAACATGCATAGAATTCAGCTTCAGGATTTTATTGTAGTTTGCATAGTTTCTAACTTGTACTTGTGCAGATGAATTGAGAACACATATTCTGTCTCACTATTTTTGGAAAAATGATTTTGAATGAACATATAATAGCACTTTGAAAATCATAAAAGAATAACATAAAACAACTAAAAAATGGAAAAATACTGTCAGAAGATGATATAATATTGTATTAAACTAACTAAAAGCTTATGTTTGGGATTGCCTCGGTGTCCTAGTGATCTAGAGCGTGAGCTGTAATTTTGTAACTTCTCTATTCTATTAAAAAAAGCTGAATATTGCTCACTGTCAATGGGGCTGTGCATTATATCCATGCATTAAGCCGCGAAGGCTCGTGCCAGTGTGTTAGAGAAATAATAAAGTATTGAAACCATTCCCGAGTGTTGATCAGATAGATAACCTTTCAGGATTGTTGGTTCAGGACAGCACAATGTGCATTTTGTTTTGTAATTTTTCCTTTCATTAAACATTTTATATAACCAAAAAGAAAATCTGGAAATGAAGAAAGGAAGGACATTAGAAAATAGAGGTAAAGAATCATCCCTCTCTAAACGTTCAATGCCGGTAAGACTTTGCTAAAGAGACCTTTATCATGGAGAAAGAAAAAGAAAAGTATATGCTTTTGATTATATACATAACTATCAAAGACCATAGTGTTCTTTACATGTTTATCACTTTTAGATCTTGATGATTTACAAAGAAAACGTATTTTGCTTTATCAGGTTCCCCCTACAAGTGTGCCTGTAATTGTAAGAGAATACGGGAGAGAACAGGTCTGGATATAAACTACGCAAATTTTGTACCATCACCATTTTGTGGGCGTGCAAGATCCCTATGTAGAAGCCTAATATGTTGGCATGCATGTTTTTGTATTATTTTCTCACCTAGGAATAATGTTAATGAGCCTTCCTGTTCCGAAATTTTGGACATTTCTGTTGTATTCGCCTATCCTAGAGAAGAGTGCAAATTTTCGCCTCTCCAGGAAGATTTAACCTTGCATTCTCATCATCTGTAACAGTTCATTTTCGATTATTTTTCAAATTTTGGATAATTATTCTGTCACAATTTTGGTTTAGCAAGTTGTAGTTGTGCTTAGCCCCTTCTTTAGTTGATGTACTGTAATTATGAAAACCATCACCACGGATTGAAGTTATCATTGCAAAATTGTGTTGCGTGTGATTGCTAATTGTCACCCCTTTCGCATGTGAAGGGTCTAAGTTTGCAAGGAATAAATCATTTGAAGCTAACAGAATTTGAATAATTTCTTTTATGTTTGGTGATGTACCATAGATTTGCGTCCCAATGTTTCAATATTAAGAATCAGATGAAAATAAAATGTCAATTTAAAATCGCTTCTAAAAAATATATTTTGCTTGCTAGTTTTGAAATCATCACCTTGTTCTTTCCACCCTCTGTCTTGTCCGAGAAAAATTATAGTGAAAATTAGTGTACGCAGGTTTCCTGATTTTTTTTTTCTGCATCTGTTTTGTTTTTTGTTAATATGTTTGAATTATGTAAAGAAATAATAAGTTATCTTTATATCAGTATCAGTCTCCTGCACCCATCAGTACAGCATCCTCAAACTTTATAAAAGATTTCTTTCCTTTCTCTTTGAAGAAGTCTACAACAAAAGTGGGAGAGGCAGGATCTGAACTTACCTAGAAAAACTTCAACAGATTATAGTCTGTCAGTTTTGACCATTTGGTCATTCTCTCCTTTCCGGACCGAGGCCCCCTCCATCAATGGGTTCTAAGGAGGGATAAAAACTTTAAATAAAACTTATTGAGCTATTTCTCCATGTATCTCTCCATATTTCTCCTTGCACATTTATATCATTTTAAAATTTTAAAACTATCTCTTTCATTTTGAAAATTTTACATCTCGCTTTTTTTTTAATAGATTTCAAAATTTGTTGAAACATTTAAAAAAAAATTTCAACATAGTTGAAGAATTTTGAAATCCATTAAAAAAAATTAATCTCAAGATTATTTTTGGAACGTAGAGATACAGAAATAAATGTGTGAAGATGTAGGAAAAAACAGTCAACTTATTGATTTGATTGAAGTAACCTAAGAATTTGATTGAGATATAATGAAAAGATTATGATAATTGTTGATAATAATTGATGAAATAAATGAATGTTCGGTGGCATTTTATTTTAACCCTAGGGTTTTGAAATTTGTAACATCCCAAAAATACAGTAATAAAACCATATAATAGAATTAATTACATTTAATAATCATCCAGTTCAGTCTTATACTACTCAAGCGTACGATTTTGGCCGAACGACCTTACATAGAGTTTCTAAAAGTAAACTGTACAAAATTAAAGGAAACATGACCGAACGGCTTACAAAAGCCAAAGTACCGATCGGTCAGATAAAAAAAAAAGAAAGGAAGTGACCGAACGGTCACTTCATGCTAAACTACTAATTACAAAACCGAATGTTCTACGATTTGGCCTTTACTTCAACTTCTACAAGATTCGCATCTTCCAAAATTTCTTCTTCCAGCACCTCTTCAAGTAGCGCGCTTCCATCTACTCACATCCACACGGATGATCATTACAACGGAAGACGAACGTACAGACAGGACAACACAAGGAAAAACACAGGGTAAGCTTATGTAATTTAATTCAAG